TATTTGCATCCTGAATAAATATTTATCGGCAATGAGAAGATGCCACATTTATTTGAGACGGACTGCAGTATGCGGTTTAAGACAGATGGAAGATGGCTAGATAAATGAAGGAATATCACGAGGATACAATGACCCGGCAAGTCCGAGGAAGTTTCCCGAGGCCTCTCGAGCCCTTTTTGGCTATTACTGACAACTAAATCACAGCCTGACAACAGGAAATCCTCTCACCAGATCATTCAGTGTAACACCTCATGATTTGAGATGGCCCGGTCACTTTGTGTCATTCAGTAACTGTCAAGATCAGACCAAGCAGCCACAGAAATTGCTAGAGGAAAGTGGGGATGGACCAAAAAAAGAGAAACCTGATTCAATCAGAAAGAGGAGAGATAAATGGATTCCATGTAAAGGTTGTTGAGAGTGGACCGGGAGAGAGATAGGCAGATAAACAGAAGCTTGTGTGTGAGATAGACAGAGTTAGAGAAACAGGAAACGCCTCTCGACTCTGTGATTTAACGGTCCGGAGAGCCGTGCCTGGTGGCAGACGGGTAAACAGTTGGCATGCCTCTCATTACGGTGTCATGCTAGTGTCCCTCTCTCTCTTAGCCACCTGTCCAGCATAGCTAATGCCACCCTGGCACTCTGCCACCTCCATTGGCTGACATCATCAAAGCGAGCGAAGGTGGGGCGTCACCCCAGACTGGCAGCAAAAAGATAGTTGTCTACTGCCATATGTTTTTGCCCTTCCAAACCACAGGTCATTACTGACACTTTTTTCTTTAATTATTTAAGTTTAATTAACCCGTCTATGTGGTCCCTCTTATGGGCCAAGAGCTTGATCCTGACAGAAGCCGAGGGTCTTTAGAAGTGCTAAGCATTTGTGAGATCACAGAAAAGCAGTCTGTAATCACATCGTCTCCACAGAATGCTCAACACCATGTCTGACAAAACTGTTGGACGGCATCAAACCCCAACAGCTTGACACGGAGACAGTACTTTCTTCACAACGTGCTGTTACAATTAATGTTGAGAATTGAGAATCAATTGATTTTCATGACATACTGTACAGCAAATGATTCACATGCAAAACTTTTATGAGCAATTCTTTTAAAGTGAATCAAGCACACTGTAAAAAATATTTTCAAGATTTGTTATCACAACATATTTTCTTTTGTCAAATCAACTTTATAATAATTTATTTAGTTGAGATAACTTAAATTAATCTACTTCATTGTATTAACTCACTTTTTCCCAGTTCAATCAACTTAAAATTTTAAGGCAACCCAGGTTACTTACTTTTTTAAGTTAAACCAACAATATTTTTTTACAGTGTAGTAATCACAACATTTTTTCTTTAGTCAAATCAACTTAAATAATTTATTTAGTTCAGATAACATATTATTTTGAGTTTCAGATGGTTAAATTAATCTCCTTCATTGTATTAACTCACTTTTTCTAGTTCAATGAACTTAAAATTTTAAGGCAACCAGGTTACTTAAGTTAAGTTAAGCTTAAGGTAAACCATCAATATTTTTTTTTTTACAGTGCACATACAGCATGACGAGTAAAGTCCGTTCCCAAGGTTATTTTTAACTTGTTTAAAATTTGTATTTTTAATTATTCAAAAGCATATTCAAAAGCAATCGGATTCCTGAGTTGATAAGTCCAAATGGCTATTTTTTAGGGAATCATAAACATTCATAACAACCAGTGAAGTCTGAATTCTCAAACTAATGGCTATAAAGAGTTGACCCTTTTTAGTGAATCAAAAACCTACATGAAGTCAGACTCCTTAGCGAATGACTTATGAGAAGGGCTGGGACAATATATTGATAGGGCGATATATCATGTCCTTCTCCATGCGATACGAGAATCGATACGCTGGCGCCAAGTATCGATATTTTAATTAATAAAATGTGCTCTAACACATTTAAAGGCGTCTATCAGCGGATCAGTAATATATCAGATACATTTTTCAAGAGATCATTGTTGCCAATCACAGACATATACAGTATGTTGAGAGCTTGAACACAATGGCCAATCAGAGGTGTTTATCAAACACAACCTTTGATTTTAATAATGCATTAGTAAATGGTGAAAATAATGTTAACTACATTTAATAAATGGTGTAAGAATTGTTCATTCTTACGATGTTAACTAATGTTAACTAATTAACCTTATTGTAAAGTGTTACCTATATTTGTATTTTTAACCATTTTAAAGGCTGTTGTTCACTTGGATCTATTTTACCACGAATTAATCGATGGAATAATCAGTAGAACACTAAATTACTAAAATAATTGTTTGATTCCCAAACAAGTGACTCTTAATATAACACATGGAAAAAGTTACAGATGCTGTAACAAGATTCAGCCAGTCAACAGCAGGAGCTTGTAATCTAACACTAGCACAACCTATTAATAACCTTCCCACAATCAATATGCACATTAGTACTTCTGTATAATTCAATACAAATATAATCCAATACATCCCTTGCAGTAAAAAGCCCATATTAGGCTATATTAAGAACGATATGAAACCATATTAGACATTTCAGTTCTTAAATTCCACCCCCTATGGACATGAACATCCAAACCTCCATGTAATTAGAAACTTTTTTGTTTGAACTTTCTGCCATGACCTTCTGACTGCACTTTAAACAAATGAACAAGCATTCCCTCCCCTCCGCTATTCCCTTGCAGAAAGGCCTCTTGGGTAATGTAGTCCATACTTGTAATACTGAAGAGCCTGTCATCTCAGGTGTACATTTTCTTTTTCATTCTCTACAATACTCTGTAAGGCAAAGCTGTCCTAAATGCAATTACTGTACACAGCAGAGCGGAGCGGAGAGTGTCCGCAGGGATTGCTGGTAAACAGGATGCAGTCAGGGGGTGCGGGAGTTCTGCTGCTACCTAATTTAATTGGCGTGGCTACTCAGCTAGCCCCAGGTGACCGCTACATGGAATCTTTATAAAGAATACGGTTAAATTACCCTAGGCTATATACTGATTTTTATTTTTCAAGATCCCTTCGTGCTGAGATTATTATTATTTTTTTTTTTATTGCTTTCGCTCCATCCCAGGGAGGAACTGTTGTAGGCATGATGAGTTTATAAGGAATATATTAAGAGTGTAAACAGTGATGGTACCGCTGAGATGAAAAATAAAGAAGAGAAATGGTTCGCAAGGAAGAGAGAAACCATGATAAAAAAAGAGTGGATGGTAACTGAATCCAAAAGCCTGCTGTTATTTCTTAGTTGGAAGATGCGAATAAAAAAAAGATTGCACCTACAGTAGCAGCCAATACTTCAAAATCTTTATGAAGAACAATTTTAAGTGTTAATCACTCAAAATGATCAAGTTTCAAACCCTGCAAAACATACAAAATTACATTAAACGTACATATTTGGATGTATATGACTTTTCTTAACCCTTCTGTTACCCGGATTACCCGGATTATCGGATTACACTTTTTATCCACTGGGGTCAATTTGACCCCAGTAATTTAAACTTCCACAATAAAATTTATTTATTTATTTTTTTTTACAAAGGTTTGTCTCAGTTAATTTATGTCTTTGTTGACTACTTAAGTAACCTTTTAAGTTGACATCCACCCACAAATGTGTGTGAAATTTTTACTTTTTTTTTTTCTGTTTTATTATACATCTAAAAGAGCCTGGGGTCAAATTGACCCCAAGGAACACCGATGCTACAAAATGTGTACAGGACTTTGAAAAATTAATGGCAGGTTAATTTTATGTTTACAGAGTTGTCCCCATTAAATTAGGAAAAGTCATTAAATCTGAAGCAAAAAAAAGTTTTTTATTTATTTATTTATTTATTTTTTACAGATGTTAAACACTGAATGGGGTCAAATTGACCCCAAGAAAAAATAGGAGGGTAAAGCAAACAAACTTGCACTACCGTTAAAAAGTTTGGGGTCAGTAAGATTAAAAAAAAAAAAAAAAAATCATTTAGAAAATTGTTATTCAGCACAGAGACTTTTTTTGATTAAAAGTGCCAGTAAAGACATTTCTGAAGGATCATGTGACACTGAAGACTGGATTAATGGTTCCTGGAAATTCAGCTTAATTTTTGATCAAATAAATGCAATGTATAAACTGCATATATGACAATCCTAAACATTGGTTTGGTTCTAAAATCAAAATTGTACACACACAAAGAGCTTTGTGAACCTTTTTACTGTACAATTTCTGAGATCCCAATGATTCATCTTCAGCAACCAACCCAAGTCCTGCTCTTCAGATCACACTCACAGCTCTGGAGAACCTTCATTCATTTCATCAATTCTAGATGCCACAAGGGCAGGAGTAATTTGATTGTCATCAAAAAACATGTACAGAAAATGTTTGATAGAAGTAGAAATAGCTTAGAAAGAAAGAAAGAAAGAAAGAAAGAAAGAAAGAAAGAAAGAAAGAAAGAAAGAAAGAAAGAAAGAAAGAAAGAAAGAAAGAAAGAAAGAAGCTAGACCGATAAGTGTCAAAATGTGGCCACAGAAAATCAGATCCTTTAAACCATTGGCACCGACTCATTTCCTCATCAACCAACTACATGCTTCAATTCATCACACAAAACTCATTCGTTTAAATTTTAGAAAATCCTCACACATACGTTAATCTCCCTGACAATGAGATTCAAACCCTGGAAATAATCGGGCCGTATTCTGAGCAGGCTCATTAGCTGATTCTCTGATACATCTAAACGGAATCCGTTCACGTGTCATCTCGAGGCGGTGTTGGCCGTCACACAGTCGTGAGCCCACACTCATCACAGGAACATTCCAATTACCCCAACAACAAACTCATCGCTCACATCGCCAACTTCCTCCAATTTGAGGTATTGCCAGATTAGCGCTTGACTTCTTGCCTTGCTTAAGTGGCATTCGTATCACAGTTTAAAACCGGTATAGACACAATACAGCCTCAGCACAGGAAGTCTAATGATGTTTCAGCAGGATAAATGAGGATTTAAAAATGTGCTTACCTGAAACGGCAAGAATATCTGATCAGCCAAACAGCACATGAGAAAAAAGGAGAGAGAGAAAGAGATGGTGATTAGACCTGAAGTAATCAATCAATCTTAAATGATTTTCACCATTAGATTTAATCACCGTTAAATCTAATTAAGTAGCTATTAAAGGGTTTCTTCAGGTGGTCAGCATTCCTGAGATGAAAACTGTCACACAACTGCGGTGACATTACAAAACTACATCAATTATTCCTTGATGAGAACTACTGCATTCAACGTATAGGAAAAGGAAGACTGCCGCTAATTATTCATGGTGGAATGATTATTTAATTTAATGAAATGAAACATTATTTTCTCTGGAGCGTTATCATTTCTTAAAAAAAAAAAAAAATAGATTCTGTAGGGATATATAAAATCTGCACTCCAAGTTTAGATGTTGAGACAAATAAGCAGGGAAGTATGCATGCTGACCCCTTGTGATTATGCAGATTGCAAATTGAATTTAGTTTTTGCTCATTAACAGAGGTGAAGTCAATGTGTGTCTGTTTGGGTTAGGGTTAGTTTATGGTAATTATAATTAGCTGTATTTAAATTTTGATATGAGCAATTCACACTTAGCAGAGGTGGATAAGTTGAGTCACAGGAGGACTGGGGGTGTGTTTCCATTGCGTTTACACCATGTCATATTTAATTAAGAAACGGGAACCCGTGACGTTCTACCCGTAGCTGTTCACGTCCTCGGACTCAGAAAAATGCATTTCTATGTCAACGCTATCAGTCAGAGCTCTTTAAGTTTACATTCAATATTATTGTAATGTTATGTGCTTTGGGATATGAGGTAATTTAACGCTGTCTCTCATGACGCTTTGCAGACTGTGCGCAATCATGTGTTTTGACGAAGGCATGATTAGTGCACTCTGAAGGGAGGGTGGGACCTCATGCTTTCAAAGCTTTCTTGCTATTGCTAGCCTCTCCGAAAATGCTTACCCTACCGTTTCATGACCCGTTAGTGACAAATTATTATTTAGGTTAATGAATACTGTAAAATGTTTTCCCATGCATTTTCATTGCCACTCCTTGGTCTTAATTCTAATTACAGGTATAATTTTGAGTTGCATCTTTGGCCAATTTATTTCTTTATTTTTGATATGGTCAATATTCCATTTGACCCTGTTTAGTTTTTTTAGGGTGAACCAGACACAAATAACTCTTTCAGACTGATCAAGAAGCAGAATTCCATAGAAACTCAGACAATCTGCCATTTGGGACTCCATTCAGTCTAGAAACCCCCAGCTAATTACTTTATAGCCACGCACGCTTGTCAGAGAAGATCCAAGATAAATTGAAGAACGTTTGTAAAAGACGGATTGGTTTGGAGATGGCACAGCTTGAGCCCCACGAGGAAAACACCAAAGAGGGTGTTTGATCCCACAAAAGATAAACAAAACAGGCCTTGTTCTTCTTAAAGACCTCTGAGCGACCTCAGGGCTGAAATCTCTTAAAACCACAGAGACTTAGACTTTACACAGTATCAAATCACATCAGATAATCCCACAGACTTATAATCAAACATCGTTCAACTGCATAATTCTATATCAAGTTTACAACCTATGTGACTATGCTTGGATCACACATAATTTGCACATTTTTATAACTATTGAATGGTTTACTTGGAAACGTTTCTTGTTTCTTATCCGTATGATCGAATGTTCATAATTCAGAAGATGGCTTGATTGAAATCTGTGTAATATGTATATTATTCTTATCATGTCTAAATTGTACTCTCTGTTGAGAGTGGGCAGTAAGAGACCATTAGAGAAACAGCCACCTCTGAGCTAAAGACAAGGTCCAATTGGTCAGAACCACTCCAGGGGACTGGACAGATACCTCAGGTTTAGACGATAAACGATAATTCTTTACATTTGAAAGCCGATAACTTATATATATTATATAAATCTAAATTCAAAATTTTAAAACATTCAAAACCATCATGGCGAACAGCGTGCATCTCTCAACTGAAGTAAATAATCTACTATCAATCTTTGATATTTCAGACTAATTTCGGATGGATAACAATAACATCAAAATTTATTTATTTATTTATTTTTTCATTTATCAGCCGATTTCGATATGCCGTCTCGCATCCCTAGACAGAGTCAGATCAAGATCAGAAGATCATGCCGATATTTCAACACATTCTCATCCTTTAACGTCATATAGAACGCTATATGACAAAACGGCGCTATACTACGCACATGGCACCCGTTATCGTTAATATAACACGCGCTGTGAGGGCTAAGTTTAGGTGTGGGGTAGGGTGTGCGTGTCATATTCACGCTAAAGGATTTATAACGTCTTGGGTTCGCGTGTTATATTAACGATAAAGGGTGCCATGTGCGTAGTATAGCGCCGTTTTTGCATATAGGGTTCTATATGATGTTAAAGGATGAGAACGGGCTGGATATTTTTGCCGATAACCGATAATTCTTTACATTTGAAAGCTGATAATTACGATAATTTATATATTGTATAAATCTAAATTCAAAAATGTAAAACATTCAAAACCGTCATGGTGAACAGCGTGCATCTCTCAACTGAAGTAAACAATCTATTATCTATCGGCTTTGAAATATCGGACTCATTTTGTTGTCGGATTGATAAAAATATTTATTAGCCGATTTATTAGCCGATATTGATATGCCGTCGATATATCGCACATCCCTAGACAGAGTCAGATCAAGATCAGAAGATCATGCCGATATTTTTGCCGATAACCGATAATTCTTTACATTTGAAAGCCAATAACTTAAATATTATATAAATCTAAATTAAAAATTTTAAAACCATCATGGCGAACAGCGTGCATCTCTCAACTGAAGTAAATAATCTACGATCAATCGGCTTTGATATTTCGGACTAATTTCGGATCGATAACAATAACATCAAAATTTATTTATTTATTTTTTTTTTATTTATCAGCCGATTTCAATATGCCGTCGATATGTCTTACATCCCTAGACAGAGTCAGATCAAGATCAGAAGATCATGCCGATTTTTTTGCCGATAACCGATAATTCTTTACGTTTGAAAGCCGATAATTCCGATAATTTATATATTGTATAAATCTAAATTCAAAAATGTAAAACATTCAAAACCATCATGGCGAACAGCACGCATCTCTCAAGAGAAGTAAATAATCTATTATCTATCGGCTTTGATATATCGGACTAATTTTCTTATCGGATCGATAACAATAACATCAATTTTTTATGTTTGTTTTTCATTTATTAGCCAATATTGATATGCCGTCGAAATATCATGCATCCCTACACAGAGTCAGATCAAGATCAGAAGAACATGGGTTAACAGTTTCATAGTTACAGTTACAGAGTTGATAATTAACGCCTGTATAGATGACAGGCTGTGCTCTGCACACAATGGTGGTGGTGTTTAGGTCTTGACTGATATTTCTTCTGACACTAACCATGTAATCACACATACTGAGAATAAAGGAAATGACTGTCATTTCTGTGATTGTGCTGCCATTTTCAGGCGATGATTCTATTTCCTGTGAACTCTTTAAGCGACTGATCACACACTGGAGAAATGGCTCATAATGCCCAACAGGTGGTCTTCAGAATTACACAAGCTCACAGACATCAGAGGTGATAAAAATTGAACACGCACTCCATTACTCAATTCTCAACCCGTTGGTTACAACCCCTGGTATGGGTAGTGTCACAATCGAGAGGTATAAAACAACACTGAATGCTAATAAAATACAACTAACCATATTGAAAAGTGATCAACCTTTGATCTTTCCTTAAAACAGAGGGAGAATTCAAGCCATATCAATCTCCATTCCTTTCAGCCACACAGACATTCTCTCATACAGTACATTTCCTTTCTCTTTCATCCCTGGCTCCCCATCATTCCTATTGGCAGAGCCATTACTTTGGGCTGGCAGTGGCAACAGCGGATTTTGGCTGGCACCAGACATTTCATCAAGACCAGCAGTGATTCTGAGAGGGTGAGGCTAAACTGCCCAATTCCCACCATGAGCTGGCACCACATTCAATGCAAAAGGTCTCTAACAGGCAGAATGTGCGCCAAAAGGGGGCCATTGGAGTCCAGGAACACTGAGCGAGACGGAGTGAGGTTCAGTCCCACAGAACACAGCACCTGGTGACCACTGCATGGAGGCGCAGTGGGGGACTGGGTGACCTTTAAGGGTGCAGATCCATCACAGCTGCTGGGTACGCAACACTAATGCATTATTTCAAAGAGAACAGTTTAAAACATCAGCCAATCCAATTTTTAACAAAGTATCCTACACTCTAAACAATGCTGGGTTGTTTTAACCCAAATTTGGGTTAAAAATGTAATAAAAAATTACAGGTGAAAGTTGAAAATTTGAAATTACATTTTTAACCCAACATTTGGGTTTGTCCATATTTGAACCAAATTTGGGTTGAAACAACTCAGCATTCGAGTGTAATACAAAAAACAACAACATTATATACCAATATTAAAATAAAACATATTAAACATTCATTTTACAATATAATTCCCCCTCACAAATACTCCTTCAACTGTTTTACTTCAATTAAAGGTTATAGATGTTTGTGATTTTTTTTTTTATTTTTTTTTTTTTTTTATGAAAGCTCAAAAGGATGAACAATGTAGATTTGAAGAGTTCAGATGCAAAAGCCTCTAAATGCCATTTGAAATTTTCTTCTTTAATGATGATTTTTATCAAACTTGTATATTTAAGTTCAGTAATTTCACTTAAATGGCAATGATAATTACCTATTAATTGTTATTTAAGTGAAATTACTGAACTTAAATATACAAGTTTGATAAAAATCATCATTAAAGAAGAAAATTCAAATGGCATTTAGAGGCTTTTGCATCTGAACTCTTCATTTATTTTCACGGCCTACTTTGCTCATATTTACCAAGGGTGCCAATAATTCTGACCAGTTTAAGATATATAATGAATGATATATGATGTCAAAAATAATGATGATAAT